CTATCTGTAATTATTTTTATTTTGGGCCCTTATTTGTAATTATTTTCAAATTTGGGCCCTTATTTGTAATTTCCCCATTTATTTAGTCAACTATTTAGACATTTAGTCAAATTTAGAATTTTGACATTTCGACAAAAAATATGTATTTAGACGCCTAATTGTCTAAATATTTGACTAAATAGGGTATTTAGACTAACAACATTAACCTTAATAAACAAAGGCAGGACTGCAAGAAAAAAAACGTCTTGTTACGCTTATATGATCGGAATGGTGAAGAAGAAGAGTAACACTCTGGACAAGGAAAGATCAGTGTCATATTTCACAAAAATGGTGTTCTAATAAAGATTTTATTCGTTCGAAAAGATTATTACTATAAGGGCAAAATTGTTGGATGTGAAAAGATGATTGGGAATGGCGATTTTAGTAAAAGTGTGGGCAATTTGTGGATTTCTCAAATTTCTCAAGTTTGTGGAATATTACGGAACATTCCCGTATTTGCGCGAAGTAACGCTCATATTTAGGTTTGTCTATTTTTTTTTTCGGAATATTTCGATATTTCGATAATTAGCATCAGTGTTACAGCTGTTCTCAGTTTCTGGGACAAATTAAACATCCGAATCTTTTCGGTTTCGTCTTTTAAATCACCTAACTCTCCGGAAATTAAATTGTTTTCTCCATGATAGCAATATAGTTTCCGAAGAGTTAAGTGAGTTTACAGGACGAAACCGAAAAATTTCTGCATGCCAAAATTATACCACTAGATCGAATTATGAAAAATTCCCTGTGAGATCTAAAAAAACCTTACGCATCACGCGAGTTAGTGATTGATGAACTTAGATGAAGTATTGACTTTATTTGTTTAGGAAATGTGCTGCCAGATTCGTTGAATTTGTTGGAGAGATGTTTTATGAATTATAGAAAAGATTAGGATTACTTTCAAGATGAACCAGTATACTTCATAGTTAATGACTATAGTTGATGTCAAAATTAATTTACAATCTTGCATTGCAATTAACAACATAAGTAAATGTGGCAACAATGCAATTTAGTAATTTTGACGTTAACTAATGTCCGGATTTAATTAGTTGAGAACATCTCATAATTATGTTTCTTCCAAATTACTATCAAAGATCTGGTAAATGACTAACAAAATTTGACCAACTTTAATATAAAACGTATACATCACCAATCGTTTATAGATTCCAAAATCATGTGTAATGAGACACGAGAAATTAAAAAAAACTTGAGACTTAAAATTTTAAAAGGTTTCCTTACGAAATCTTGCTATAACTATAACCTTCTTACTCTAATCTTATAGCAAAATCCTAATTCTAGCCAAACAGAGTGAAATTTTTATAACAAAAATTTTTACTTATTATAAAATACCTTTTTTTATATCAGTGACGCTAGACTTATGCCAGGTTTTAATTCGAAAATCTAACTATAATATCCTGATAATATTCATTAGACACGACTTAAAATCATACTTTTTTTATCAAAAGATAATTTTACCATTTTCTTTAACTTCCCTTCCTCTAGATAGAAAATAGGTTTATTATTTCTGACATTTGCCTATATGCATTCAACTTGTGAAGTATGGATAATAACAAGTATAAATTTTAAGAGATATAAGCAAAATAAAAATTACAAACAAAACTGGTAAAATTTAAATCCTAAAACTAATTTATCCAAACAAAAATTATTATACCATCATAGAATATAAAAACTATATGTATAAATTTTATACTAAATTATCAAATTTAAACAGTATACTTATTATAAACAAATATTAGATAGTGTGTAATTTAAAATACACTAATTTACTCAATTTATAATAATATCTTATGCATATTTCATTTCACTTTCTTCAAAACCTATAGTAGGAAATTTTTTTACAAAATCAATAACTTTATGTTTTAGCTCATTTATCACAGGCTCTGAAGAACCATCTTCTCCAACATATTCCTTAAAGTCCTTGAGTTTTGTTCCTAATAACAAGAATTGATTATTTTTGTAAATATAAACATTTTACAGCTATCATAATGCATACAGATTCCCTTACCAGAAACTTTCTTGCAAATATCATTAGTTATTTGAACACCTTGATGAATAAATTCTGCGACTTGTTCAAAATCAGACTCTTTAAAACCACGTGTTGTCATAGCTGGTGTACCAACACGAAGTCCTCCTGGAATAAACGCGCTCTTATCACCAGGAACTGTATTCTTGTTTGCGGCAATATTTGCCAATTCAAGAATACGTTCAACACGAGCACCGTCAACACCCTATTTTTCGTTTATATTATTATCAAGCTAATGGTTTAAAAGTATGATAAATTAAACTATTTAGTGTGAGACCAACCTTGGATCTCAAATCCATAAGTATCAAATGAGTATCTGTGCCACCTGAAACTAAATCATATCCTCTTTGTTTAAAAGCCTCTGCAAAAGCCAAGCTATTTTTTACTACTTGTTGTTGATATTCTTTGAAAATTGGGGATTTAGCTTGCTTCAGTGCAACAGCAAGGGCAGTAATAGT